CAGAACTACACGGGAGGAGCTTGTTAATGATCTTAAGGCAGTTGGGACCACAGTCACCAGGCAAACCATTGGTAACCCACTAAATGGACTGAAATCCTGCAGCGCCCGCAAGGTCCCCCTACTCAAGAAGGCACATGTACAGGCCCATTTAAAGTTTGTTCAGATGAGACTAAAATTGAGCTCTGTGGTTTGCCGTGTTTGGAGGGAGAGAAATGCTGACTATGACCCCAAGAACACTATCCCGTACGGTCAAGCACGGAGGTGGAAACTAGGGATGTTCATTTTAACCTGTTAACCGACCATATAGAATTTTGACCGATTAATACAATCAGTTAAACGGTTTAAAAAGTAATTTTTTTTTTTCCAATAATTTTTTTAAATGTAGAAAAATTCATAACAAGTCGCATCGCATATCAGTCGGAAATTATATAATGCCGACGCAAAATGTTTACAAACATTATAATAAACACTATAAACATAGCTAGGCTATTTTAGTTCCCCTCACGCCACAACAAATCCTTTCAATTAACAGTAAAACAAGAATTTAAAAAATATAAGAAGCTATAGCAATATATACGACAAAGCCAAAACAAATTCATTTAGGCTGGTTTTTTTCCCATATGTTTGTATTTTATTATGATAATGAACAGGCTGCATTGTCAAGGTAGCAATCAGATTTTGCTACCTCCCATTAAAACAGATGGTAGCATAATTAGATAGCGAAAAGTGCTACCTATCAGATTTTGCTTCCAGCATGATATTAATAAGGTGCGAGGCTTTATTAACATGTACACCTACCCCAACCCTACCCTTACAGTAGGATAAATACAGTGTTGGTAGCATAATCTGATAGGTAGCATTATTTGTCAGCACACCGGCGCAATCACTTGAATTTTTTCCTTCTAACAGTGGAATCAACTAGGCTACTCCTTTTAGTCATGAAGATAATCGGAATTGTAAAAGGTTTGCCTTTATTTGTGTACATTCACAATAAAAACAAATCTTTGTGCTTTTGTAAAATAAGCCTAAAGAAAAATAGGATGCCTCTTTCTGCCGTCTGGTTTCCTTTAACGCAGCACAAAAAAGAACCGAAACTCTGCATATTAGGCTACTTGTTACAGTTTTTCTTTCATTTTCTTAATTTTTTATTTAAGGAAAGATATATTTCTCGTATAGGCCTATTTATTCGTTATATATACACACATATATATATATATATATATATATATATAACCATAGCTTTATTATGTTTTTCTCCGCTCGCAGAAGCGCTGCAGGTGCGTGATGTGACATGAAGACCATGTGAATCCTCATGTTCTGTTGTTTGCTGCTTTTTGCGCATGTAAAATTAATCCCCGGGAAACAAATGTTAGTATTTTTAACGGGTCACAGACACTTATCCTTTCTAATTTAATTCAATTCTAATTTAAAATAATCTTGTCGGTTAACGAGCGTCGGTTGTCCATTAGGAAAAATAACCAAAATGAACATCCCTAGTGGAAACATTATGCTCTGGGGCTGTTTTTCTGCTAAGGGTACAGGACGACTTCACCGCATTGAGGGGCAAATGGACGGGGCCATGTACTGTAAAATCTTGGACGAGAACCTCCTTCCCTCAGCCAGAACACTGAAGATGGGTCTGGGGATCAAATACTTATTTCACTCATTGAAATGCAAATCAATTTCTAACCTTTATATAATGTGTTTTTTCTGGATTTTTTGGTTGGTATTCTGTCTCTATCCGTTAAAATAAACCTACCATAAAAATTACAGACCCTTAATTTCTTTGTAAGTGGGCAAACTTACCAAATCAGCAGGGGATCAAATAAATATTTTCCCCACTGAAAGAGACTTAATGAGGAAAAAGTAGCCACTTTATCCGCTAGGAAATGACTGGACTGGTGAAAAACTGTTGTTTGTTTGTTTATCATCATTATATTTAGCGCCATTCCAGCTACCACAGCTTAGAGACAAGTGAAAAATAGAAAAAGAACATAAATATCAACAACAAATAATAAAAAGTGTTAAAAAATGTAAGTTTATCTATGATTAAAAATATATAAAACTAAATCTGGCCTAACTTCAAACTTTAAAAAAATGAAAAGACTTTTCATAAGAATTAGAACATGGTTGAAAAATCTGCCAAAAAATATAGACTCTGATTTTGATGAAAGGTTATGAAGACAAACATTTTCTTTACTATGCACTGATGCATCACGCAAAACAAAAGCAATGTAAAAGTAATGTAATTAAGAAAGCATTGGGCATGAAAATAGTGTCAACTTTGACCAAACCAGGATAAAAGTGACCATCTCTCCCGATAACTTCTGACTCAAAATCATGACATTACATATAACATGTGGCATAAGCTCACCTTGTCCCATTCGCCTTCCATGACGTGGTTCCGGAACTTTGTGGCTGATGGATGCTCCAGTCTACAGCCAGATTCCTGCATTAACAAATCCACCGTCTGACTGGAAAGAGACAGAGAGACCTCACAAACATGAGCAATGCATCACAGTGCATTCAACACTTCTCATTTATTTGACCTTTAGCGAAAACAATAACTAAAGCTTGATTGTTTCTAATTGCTATATCAACAGCTAGCGTCTCAAGTACTGCTTGGATCCCATCTGACATGAAAAAGAACGTTAAAAGGCCAAGTATCAACTTGTGTGTTCCTAACATATGTATGACCTGTTTCATTAAAGCATTAACACACTAATGCCTTGCTATATAATGAAAATAATCACCGCTGAAGGGGTTCAGGGGGATTTTGTATGTAATTACCTGCATCACTCGGCCACATAGCAACTGATATCAGTACTCTTATGTGTGTCATATAGATTTATTATGGCATGTAGTGGTCATATATTCAGAATTTAACATTTAAGAAAATATATTTTTAGGTTATTAAAACTGAAAAACAAACATGCTTATGAAAATGATGGCAGTGACTGGGATGCTACAGACAGGTGAAGGTTTCTAGAAAGTGTTTTGAATGCAGGGTCTGACAGAATGACGTCATGCTATGATTGCAAAAGAGAGAAAGAGTGTGTGTGTGTGTGTTGGGGGGAGGGGATAGATGTTTTCAGTTTTCTTGATGTTTTCGGCTCATCTTGCATCCAGATCTCGGACGTGAGTGTCCAATCACGCTGATCTGGATTGTTATTGTTCTGGGTTCATGTTTTGGGGTTTGAATCTGAATGGCAGCTGATGGCTTTAGCAGATCTTCATTAAAATTAGATTCAAGCTTCTTTCTAATGTAAACCAGCTGCTACACACACACACACATTCCACAGCCGCCATTAAAAGGCAAACACACAAAGAATGTCATAATGATTTGATAATGCGTAAACGCATATGTAATATATCGGCAGAGGGATGTTGATATGTACTGAATTTATCTGTACTTTTGACACTATTAAAGCTAAAATATGTTTCGGGGCCCGACAAATATTTGACAGGCGTGCTGTCATCTGTGATCGCATGTCTCTTTGTGTCTAACCGATTAAATTATAGATATATGTATCTCATTTTGTCAGGGAATAAAGGTTTTGACTGTAATAAAACACGATTTTTAAAAGATTGACGTCGCGAGTTCGCTTCGTTGATCACGTATCGGCTACAAAATCTGCGATCTGTCAAAACAGAACCGACTCGGTCCGGTTGTGCTCTTCATTACTGCAACACTTACTTCAGCCCTAACCCGTTCAGATGCTGTCCGATGAGGCGGATCACGTCCTCCTCTGCCTGAGACAGACGCTTTTTCTTCTTCAGGGAACCCGAACCTGTCCCGGAGGCCCCCGAAGCCGAGCCTGCGTTGCTCTGGAGGCCGTTGGCATCTCCGTTCTGCGCGCTGGCCGGGTGGTTCTGCTCCTGTACGGTCCCGTTCGACTGCATGTTGGTGCCGGTTCGGCTGAGGTGGGTCGCTGACGTAAGGCCCGCTGAAGCCCCGGGCTCTCCTACTCCCTCCGCCGCCGAGGATCGGTGCTTCTTCCGCGGGGGCGGCGACGCTCCGCCGGTGTCCGAGTCGGAGGAGGAGGAAGCGGAGGCCAGAGTTTCCTCACCGAGAGCGGCCGTGGTTAGAAGCCGGTGAAGCCCGGGGGAAGGGAAAGAGGCGTCGGGCTCCTGCGGTCCAGAGCGCGTTCCGTGCGAGGGTTGTTCGTGTTATTGTTGTTTCTCTCCAAACAGCTGCAGATCTAATGCCGTCCAGTCCAGACGCACTGACGTCACCGGACATACCCCTGTTGCCTCACTTCCGGACGGCGCTCCGGCCAAAAGGGGGCGCACGCAGAAATTTACCACAGACTATTAATTCATCAATAATTATGATCTTTTATACAGAGTTTAACAGATTATCAGAGCAGTGGATCTATTAAAAATATATAAACCTGTTTTTTGTTGACAATAGCCCTTATAATTTCTATTACTGTTATCACATATAGCCATATTCACCCATCTATCTATCTATCTATCTATCTATCTTATCTATCTATCTATCTATTGGTTTATCATTCTCTCGTTCTGTATGTCATTGTATCTATCTATCTATCTATCTATCTATCTATCGTTTTAT